ACGGTGATATAGAAATGGAAGGAATGAGAAAGAGTCCCACTCACATGGATTAACACACGATAGTCCACACGGTCCATCGCATAGGCAACGTTTGTTTGCCTTTTTGCACTGCTCGTCACGCGTGCAAGATTTTCTGCAGAACTTCGGTCGATCACTACCGCTGACAATGACACATGAGGATGATAAAGCTGCTGAATAAGAGAACGTACCGTTGATTGAATGCAATATTAACAATAGAGCAATGCAACTGTCACAGCGCATTGTTCATCCAACTAAAATTGTTTATTTTAGAATCAGATCGCTGGTCGGTCACCGAAAATGGGCGACCGTCGAATTACCGCGGCCACGGAAAACGGAATTCTAGTGACACCTGGCCGAAACTGACTGGTGCACAAGATTCGCATTGTCGGTGGCCATCGAGTTGGCGTTCGGTCAGTGATCGCCGAAAAATTCCGTTAGTTTTCAACTCTAATTTAGTTCGTGTTTCTAGAAAAATTCACCGCAACAAACAAGACTTTCCTATTCACATTTCAACTTCTCAATCACTTGATACGAACTGTTGACCTTATCATCACGAAGATTGGCAATCAGTGCAAAAAGCAGAGATAGCGTTTTCATAAGGAGAATGCTATGAGTAAGTACAGGAGAGCAGTAGACACAGTTACGTTGAAAAAGTCTGGAACAAAAATAAAACGGCTCATACGTCCGTCAAAGATTATGATATTAATTCAGAGCTAGGCGTAAATCCAAGCTATTATGGGACTGACAGATATATTTACTTATTTATATTCCAAAACAGCTAAATTATCACTCATCCACAGTATTTCAGAAATAAAACCTAATTTTATCAGTTCAGGCTAAAGAAGTCAGTCGCAGCTCGCTATGTGCAAAATATGGCTATGTATGCTTGATCAAAAAAATCACAGGACGGGGAAATGGGAGATATCCGACGCAAAACGGGAAAAAATTCGTTGAAAAGTTTACGATAACATCTGTGAGGAGAACAATATGAATGAGCATATCCAAAACCTTGGACTATCGTCGAACATACAAACACAATGAATTATTGTTAAATAACACTTGAAAAACTGAATAAATTCATCATGAAAATCAGAGCGAATCTTTCAACAATGTCGAGCAAAAGTGCTTTTCGATGAATCTCGTTGTGAACGTCATTCATTTTTATGCACTGCTAACCTTCACAATCCTATTCAATAACTAATCTCAAACGCAACAATGGATATTATATTATACAATCATCTTCCCATGAACTTATTCAGAAGGCAC